CGCCATTCGAAAACGGACAACGGCCTTCATGAGCCCGACGCTGCTGACCGTGGGTCATGAGCGCCGGCGTCGTCGTCCTCGTGTCCCGTCGTCGGGTTCGGCGCCGGCTACGTCATGGGTCGAGAGGTCGGCCGCCAGGAAGCCTTTGCCAGCGCCGGCGCCGGTGTCAACGCCTCCTCCGTGGCCGCCGACTCGTCGTCCTGCGGCCGGGAGGTGATTCGCTCCTCCGGCGGGCTGCGACGGCTCCGTTGGGGCGCAAGCGTCGTCGCCTCGAGCTGAGCGACGAATATGGGTGGGGGCGCTACATTTATGACTCTGGAGTAACCTGATGAGAGACATCCGGAGAGCGAAACCATCTCCGCTCCCGCACGACAAGCCACGAAGCAACACGATTTAACGGGGACATTTATTTGACTTTTGCCTTTTTTTTCAGTTTTCGGTGGCTTCTTTTTTTCTCCGCGTCTTTACGCGGGGTCTGCGGTGCTGCGATATAGACGATACCCCTCTCTGGGCTCGCCCGGGCGTTGGCCATGTCGTACGAAGGATGACGGTTGGGCGGTAGGCCCTCTGGCCCCTCTTTTGGTTTTTTTGATCAGTCTTTCGAATCTAGGGACCTCTCGGCGTTCTTTTGCATGTTGGCGTTCATGTTGACTGGAGAGCGGGTAATAGGCGAAGGGAGCCATCGATTTCGACGGCGATGGAGTGGCGTGGTGTGCGGGGGTCATTCATCGAGTCACATTCGGGGTCGCACGCGCGAGGCTAAAATATACTTATTTCACACTTGACTTTTTAACTCGCATGGGCTTGCATGCTGCATCTCCTACGCATCACTGGTAAATCTGATCCGGGTATCTAGCAGGGTAGACGTGGACCTTGATTGTCTATTCAGCCGTGCAAGCTAGTAACCTTGTAATGAGATGCAGTGTGGCCTAGCCATGGGTTCCTCCATCGCATCTTCCTTGGCCCTTCTCCTCTTCGCTCGTGGCCGTCACCTCAGACGGCATGGTCGTCACCGCCGGCATGCAGAAACAGCCGCTCACGCCGACAACGCGGCCAGGTCCAGCGGCACGCTGCTCCCCCTGCCAGCCCTGTACTTGCGCGTCCCGCCGACAAACTCCCTCGGCTTGGGCAGCATGCTGTCGTCCTGGAACTTCCAGCGCGGGTCGTGCACGACGTAGCGCGCGCCGCCGCCGCCACCGGGAGGGGGCGGCGAGGTGAGACCGCCGGCGGAGCGGGTGGGGCTCGGGCTGGCGGCGCCGTTGGGGGCGGAAAGGGTGAAGGCGCTGGGGTCGAGCATGGAGGTTCGCAGCAGAGAGCCGGCGCGGTTGCGGGAGGGGGGCGCGGCTGGAGGGGGTGGCGGCGGCGGGGAGGAGGCCGCTGGTGGTGGGGGAGGCGGGGCCGGGGGCGCGCTGCTTGGCGAGGGGGAGGGCGGCAGGCTTGCTGCGCGGATGGCGGCTTGGGCTGCCAGGTTTGGAGGGCCGGCAGACGGTGGAGGCGGCGGTGGTGGTGGTGC